GAGGGATTCCAAAATGATTTGTTAATTTTAGTTTTTGTTATTGCTGATTCCTGAAGGTCAGCTATGGAGGGAGTAAATACCCCTTTTGCGGGAATTATTAACGATTTCAAAGGAAGAAGAAAGTGCTACAAACAAGACTGGCTTGCTGCGTTCAATTCTGGTGCCAGGTATGTTCTTGCTTATTTTGTTCAAACTTCTATGATTCCTCCAACTGTCCTGAAATTCCTCCCCCTACAAAAAGATGAGTTTTGGCTTGTAAACTATCTATTTCAGGATACTGGCTCCAACTCTGTATATTTTCATTGCCTCTGCACTACCTGTGATTGCATTCGGCGAGCAGTTAAGCAGAGAGACAGGTGAGCTACCGGGAGAGTCTATCAATATATACTGGATTTCTTGATTCTTGAAATTTTTTGTCTGACGTTTATTCATTCTTTCACTTTAGATCAAAGTCTTGGCATAGCGGAATCATTAGCTTCCACGGCTATTTGTGGAATTATCCATTCCATTTTTGGTGGACAACCTCTGTTGATTGTAGGGGTTGCAGAACCCACAATCATAATGTATACATATCTTCACAGCTTCAGCAAAGGCAGGCCTGAATTGGGTCAGAAACTCTACTTAGCTTGGGCAGGATGGTATGCGAAGAACATGTAGATTTCAGATTTCCTTTCTCTTTTCTTGCATATTGCTCTTTCATTTACATTGGAACTCTTTGTTTCTTCTTTTAACAGGGTTTGTGTTTGGACAGCAGTTTTGCTTTTCCTTCTTGCAGTGTTAAACGCATGCAATATCATTTCTAGGTTTACCAGAATTGCAGGAGAACTCTTTGGAATGCTTATAACCGTTCTTTTTATCCAAGAGGCTGTTAAGGTTCTGATGGGTAATTCCATGGTTAAAGTTGTACAAAAGTCACTTAAACATTTTAAAACTTAAAGAGGGTGTTTGTTTCCAAATGCAGGGACTTCTCGGCGAGTTTTTCGTCCCGAAATCTGAAGATCCGAAATTGGAGGTGTATCAGTTCCAATGGCGGTATACCAATGGGCTTCTTGCAGTCATCTTCTCATTCGGTCTTCTTTACACCGCTCTAAAAAGCAGAAGGGCAAGATCATGGAGATATGGCTTTAGTATGTGAAAATATGTGTTGTCTATTTATAGACAAAATACTTGACAGAATCATGACAGTTTTTTGAACAATAACTAGCTTCGTCTTTGCAGGGTGGATGCGAGGTTTTATCGGGGATTATGGAACTCTCCTCATGCTTGTATTGTGGAGTGCATTTTCATTCACAGTCCCCAAAAATCTTCCTGAAGGAGTTCCAAGGAGGCTGGAATTACCGCTTCCTTGGGATCCCGAGTCCTTGTATCATTGGACAGTAGTCAAGGTACTACTACTACTTAATGAATCTGACACTCTAGAATAGAGAAAGAATCTATAACTGAGTTGGAAAATCATTGCTTTTTGTACAAATTTTCAGGATATGGGAAAGGTCCCGCCTCTTTACATCCTTTCTGCATTTATACCAGCAATCATGATAGCAGGTCTATACTTCTTTGACCACTGTGTATCTGCACAAATGGCTCAGCAGAAAGAGTTTAATCTGAAAAATCCGTCGGCTTATCACTATGACATCTTTATTTTAGGAATCATGGTATGATTATGATGATGCCTTGCAACTTCATACATTCTTTCCTTGATTATACAATAAGTTGGTACATATGGTTTTTTGTTTTATATGAATGAAAGTGAATACTAATTCGTTTTTAAGTTGTATGTAGACATTAATCTGTGGCTTGCTTGGACTTCCTCCTTCGAATGGGGTCATTCCACAATCCCCTATGCACACAAAGAGTCTTGCGGTTCTTAAGAGGCAGGTTAGTAAAAGAACATCCCAATCGATTTTTCTGTTTTCCTTTTCCCTTTTTGAAAACTGAAACGTTTGAGAATCAAATTGCAGCAAATGCGAAAGAAAATGGTCCAAAAAGCAAAAGAATGCATGAAGGCAAAAGCAAGCAACTCAGAGATCTACGGGAGGATACAAGATGTGTTTATAGAAATGGAAACATCCCCTAAGGCATATAAACATATCTGTCTTATTTAACTCTGCTACCAAGAACTTAATTTCTCACCTAACATATGAATATTGAAACTGGTTCAGGCTACATCAGTGGCAAAAGAGCTAGAAAACTTGAAAGAAGCAGTGATGAAAGCAGACGATGGAGGAGGAGACACAAAGGGGAAGAAATTCGATCCAGAAGTACATATCGAAGACCATTTACCCGTTAGAGTAAACGAGCAGAGAGTGAGCAATCTCTTGCAATCAATCCTTGTTGGATTGTTGATATTCGCAGTACCAGTTCTCAGAATGATACCAACTTCAGTTCTTTGGGGTTACTTCACTTACATGGCTGTTGATAGTCTCCCCGGGAATCAATTCTGGGAAAGACTTCTCTTACTATTCATCACTCCTGGTCGTCGTTTCAAGTACTAACACTTTTTAAATTTACCTCTTCTTATACATCAAATTCTCTTTTTAAAAATTCTACATTAATTCTGATCATCTGTTTTTTTTTTTTGGGTGTGTAAACAGAGTTCTTGAAGGGTTACATTCATCATTTATGGAGATAGTACCATACAAATCTATTGTTATGTTTACACTCTTCCAGCTTTTATACTTTCTGATATGTTATGGAGTGACATGGATACCAGTTGGAGGAATATTGTTCCCATTGCCATTTTTCATCCTCATTGCTATAAGACAATACATCCTACCGAAGCTATTTGATCCATCTCATCTCCGAGTTTTAGATTCTTCAGAGTATGAAGAGATGGTTGGTGCACCGCAACGAAACTCCAGCTTTGGTTTCAATGTAAAATTTATAGATTTTTGATTTGATTTTTCTTCAGTATAGATTCATGGGTGTAAAGATTACTGAAATATGTCTTTTTTGAGAGCAGGGGGAACTACGAGAGCCGCATAGTCTTCCTATGAGTTCTGTTGAGATCAGTGAAGATGAGTTTTACGATGCAGAGATTCTGGATGAGATTACTACTAGCAGAGGTGAACTCAAGCACAGAACCGTAAGCGTCAAAGAAGACAGATCCCAAATGGTAACTCAAAACCCATTCTTGATTTTGTAAATCTTAGTTTGGATTTATTAAGGGGTTCCTTTTACATTTTGTTGATATTAATACTCTCAGGTATATCCGGAAAACAATGGAAACTCCTAAGTCCTGTGTAAAGTAACAAAAAACTCTTGAATCTGGCTTCAAAGAAACCGCAGATTAATCGT